CACATGAATAAAATTTGCTGAACCATCGTTGACACTTACGATTGTTTAAAACATTTCCATAAACTTCTTTACATTCTTTGTGGCTACAGAAGCATTGTTTCCCTTCTTGTATTCAAACAGCATTACATGCCAAATGTGTGTTTCATCAAGTACCATCACTATAAGGGATTAGAGTATACTAAACTTTACATATTATATAGGCTATACTAATGTGATGTTTAGGTGGTTTGTTTAACTGTTATATATGATGTACATTTTTTTAGGGGGTGGTTAATGAAAGTGTTCCAAAATGCGACATTAATTTCTTGATGACCTAATAGATTGGAAAATGCTAATATCAAATCATGAGGAAGAAAGGTTTTGGGAAACTGTACAAGATGGCTTTCTTCACCAATTAGTCAAGGAACCTACTAGAAACAATGTTATCTTAGATTTATTGTTAGCTTATAATATAGAAATGATTGATAGAGTGGAGACTGGAGAACATCTGGGTGCAAGTGATTATTGCTCTTTGAGGTTTTACTGTACATGGAGATCAGGAATAATGAGGTTTTGATTAAAAATTTTATAAAACAAAATTTGAAGAGATGCAACAAGAGTTATCTTTAATTTTATGCATTTGGCTCTAGGGTAGGTAATCCCACACTGTTTTTATTTTAGGCTTATTTTACCAATACTCACTACACTTATAAAGTTTCACGGTACCCCACCCTCATGACCCCCTTGAACCTGCATCACTAAAATCATAATAGGGAGACAGTAATCGAACTATTCTATCTGGATAAATGCATTATGGCTTTTATGACTCCTCCTATTTCAAGAAATCAAGCATGACATGAGACACTGGCTTTTATATAGGTTTGATAAAATTAAAGAAAAACAAATTTTTATGACTCCTCCTATTTCAAAAAATCAAGCATGACATGAGACACTGGCTTTTATATAGGTTTGATAAAATTAAATAAAAACAAATTTAAGAGGTTTAAATTGATTACTATGGTGGGAAGCTTTGTGGATTGTAGAAGATCAATAAAGTAAGTCAAACATGAAATTAAGAAATCATAAAGGTTATATGAAAAAATGTTGGCTGAAAATGTAAAGATTAACAATAAGGATTGCTTTAAATAAATTAAAGGAAAGCAAAATTTTATGATGGGAGTATAGCTTTTGAGGGATGATTATGAGATAACTGGGTTATTAAATTCTACATTTTTTGTCAGTTTTACTAATGAAGATTTAAGCAATATTCTTTGTCCTTAACAGTTGCCAGATGGAAAAAGATTGAACAAGAAGGTTATATTAATTATTAGCTTGTTAAGAGAAAATTGGGGAGTGTAAAGAATGGTAAGGCTTCTGCACCAGATAATATTTCCCCAAGGGATTTGAAGGAGGTTAAGGATTGGATATGTGAGCAGTGTTTCCACTTAAACCAAATTTTGGGAGTCAATAATGACTTTTTATTCAAAATAATGAATGCTGATTTTTACACTGAATGATCTCCTGTATACTGATTTGTAAATAAGTTCAATCCAAACACTTAATTTCCATGAAATCACTTGTTTTTGTGACCTGATGGCATTATTTTTAGTTTATATATATATATTTACAACATGTACAAAATATGCAAGTGTAATTAAAGTGATATGTAGAATAAATGAATTAATGATATTTATGTTATTAGTTGGTTAGACATTAGGTATTTAAGGTATGTTAAAGCATCAGATATGTTAATAGCTTATGGGTACTAAACGTGTAACATTATTATATTTTATGTACTGGCCTGAATTTTTTAAATCAAAGTAATTGCTACTGGCTATATAAGTGTGATATATAGGCATACCATGTCTTTTTTACCCTTAATGTATTGTTAATATTGAGCACCTAAATGTTGATTCAGTGGTTCTGAACTTTAGATTTGCCTGCTTTTTTGTTCTATTAATTTTTCTTTTATTACTTCAGCTTACTTACAAACTTTAGGATTTACTTTTTTTTCTACAAATTAATTTGTACTTGTGATTTTTGTTGCCAGTCCTGTTTGTGGTTGCTTTATTAGTAAGTTCTTAGTAATAGGTTATACTTTTTATATGCTTTTTTTCTTATGCTATTTTTTCTATAAATGGCTAATGGTGATGGAATTATTTCAGTTACAACTGGCTCATGTGGAACAAACTAATGCATGTGATTCAGGCAAGAAAGAATAGTTAGTAAAGTGGGGGATGAGAGATCAAAATCAAGCAAAACATTTGTAACTGAGAATCAGAATTATATTAGAGTTTGGAACAGGACCCAGAATTATCAGGCTGGTTAAGGGAAGCATCCCCAGAAACCAGTTCAAAGCCAGTCTAGCTTTGCCCTGCAAGAAGGGAAAGTTTGAGCTGCTGAAACAAAGAAAGTGGCATCCATATAGAAAATGAAAGTTTTTTTTATTAAGCACAAAACTATACATAATGGGCTATTTGTGGTTTGCACACTGTAGGTATCAGAACTTATTTTAGTGTTTTTAGTTGTTGTTCTTTTTACTTGAAGTTTGTTCAGCTTTGAGCCAGCATGGTATTGTTATTAGAGGATCATAGGTTCAATTCCTATTGTCATGAAACATGCTCTCCCTGTCTTTGTTATGGAAGAGCTACTAATGCTTTCTGCTGACTAGAGGAAAGACAACTGGCTGGCAATGCCCACTACCAGTACATGAGCTACTTTTTTCGAACTCTGTGCTAATCTGATGTAATTGATTAATGGTCTCATCAGATAAACAACCAGCAAATACCACTAATAGACCATCTGTACTTAGTAAATTACAAAAGACCAGGAGTTATGGCTAACAAGGTCAATTCTTTACCATCGAGCTATCCATGAGTGAAGCCATCCCCATCAATTTTCATTTGTAAAGCTTCTCCATATGCACGATTACTACTATATTATAATAGGTACAAAGACCAAATCATATGAAGTTTTCACAGACTTATATCATAGTCCTGCAAATTTGAACTTCTTAAAAATTTCGAAAATAATATTCTTTTTTTCTATCGCATAAGGATCTTTTACAAATTGGGAGGAAAAAAAAAAACTTACTTAGATCAAACTATTATTTCATTTATTATTATTATGTTTGTTAACAAAAATACAAACAAACTGAAGAAAAGGGAAGAACATTGATGTCAAACAAATATGCAACCTCATTCCTCCTGATTTTTTTTTTGTGAAATCTACGTCTTTTAGTCTCAGATGTGTTGTGTTGTGTGTTGTGGTCTTTCTTTTATGATTTGCATCTGGAGCATCTCGTTTCAATGACCAGCAATAATCAGCCATCATACTGATGTTGCACCTTCCCTGAGACCTCCTCTACATTTCCCTGATGTCTTGATGAAACCTTTCCAGACTTTTCAGTTTGAAAACAATCTCTATCATCCTACTCCAGTGGAGTAGGTACAGGTACATCGAGTCCATGAGCAACAGGTCTTATCACAGATTGAAGGTTCAGATAAGAAATTTTCCCTTTATTTCGAGTGTTGTAGTCTTTCACATTACATGAGCAAAAATAGCAGTCATCTCCATGGTTTCTAGGCTAATGCCAGACCATTGTAATTCCAAAAGGCAAAGACTTTTTCTTACCTTTAATCCATTATCTTAACTCTTCGACACAAATGGTGCAAACTTTGTGCAGAGCCCACGATTTGTCTTGGTCCTGAAGTTTTATTCTAAAATAGGTGTAATACGCTTTTTATGATGAATTCTTTAATGTTTTGCCTTTGTTTCTTTGCGAATAAATTACCATGAATATGTTTGGGTCATTTACGCAACCTCTTGTTGCCATAGCAACAAATAAATAATATTTAAAAGAAAAAATAATGTAAAGTGCATGCACAAGTAATACTATCCAGAAATGACACGTCATGCGGCCTGTTAACCATTTATATACTAGCGGTGCATTTCTCATGGGTTATAGATGATCAATAAGACTCTCACATTGTGATTGGTCTATAAAAGTTGTATCCAGTGGTTGTAAGCATCTTAAGCATAACAAAATGTAACCCAATTTCATTAACAAGGATTCACTTATGTAAAAGTACATATGACATTTTGTGAAAAATCTTTACGTGATGGAGAAAAATGGATATCATTTTCAGATTTAGCATACAGGAATTACTGTAGAACATGTAAAATTTCAAAACAATATAACCACTGCAGGCCTGTGTAATTATTTTTATCTGTTAGTAGTAGTATGCAGATCATGCATGTTTCAAATTTTGTTAAACAGTGTAATTTGAAAAACTGTAACTTAAAAAAGATAAGTGGTGTAACTTTTGCTGACAAACTGAAACGAGCATGCTGAAAATAGTTTTAACTTCTGTGTCTTTATACAAAAATACTGGGAAGCAAAAGACAACAACTTATCCACTAAGGCTTATCAGCAAAAATTATCATAATAATGATAGAATAGAAACACAACTATATTTTAATATATTGCAATATAAATTTCTTATGATCAGTGTGGACTTTCTGCCTAATATAATTCCAAGTTAGTTCCCATCATGGTTACATTTTGTTAACCAGCTCATTATGAAACTTGCTCACACAAATAACAGGTGAAAATGTTACTGATTGTTGATTGATAAACACAGAAACATCTGGTTATGTTCTCTGAACATTTTTGAATTAAAAAGTGTAAAACTTTTAGTCAAGTTTTTTTCCCATTGTCAGTGGAGTTACTGATTTTTACTTAGTTCTTGTATACGTTATATTGTAACCACAGCTTATTTATACACAGTACATCATGGAATATGTTTTATAATGTTATTCTATACAGTATAAAGTACAATGTAGAATAAAATTTATATGCCATATTTTTTGTTGTTGTTACCTTAATACAATGAGTGATATAACATTTAAATCTGCAAGAATAAATTCATTGATGTCATTGTTTATTGCAAGTCTATTAATACATATGTTTGTAATTTATCACATTGTTAAGAGGCTGTCATGACTAGATTGTTTTGTGAGCAGTTGCTCCCAGAAACTTGTGGATTCCAAATTTGTTAATGTCTGTTACAACTTTCACCAGAACACAAATTCACAAAAATAATAGAGGTGTTGTTACAAACATAACACATACACAATGTAGAAAAAATAAATTTCTAGCTTACTTAATAGTAAACAACAAAGTTATTCAAAATATTAAAATATAAAAACATGTTTTACATTTTATACAGTGTTAAAGAATACAGTTAAGTAATTATAAATTATATACATAACAGTAAATTTAAAATCAGTAAATTTACATTTTATTTAATGGAAAAGTAGCCCAAGAGTTTGTAATGGGTACTGCCAACTAATTACCTTCTCTCTACTTGACAGTTCAGAATTAAGGATTGTGGCAGATAACCTTAATAGCTTCAGCATAGTTCAAAAATAAAGAAATAAATACAATGCCCCTGCAGCTAAAAGGGTGAGAAAGTTTGGTGGCAATGGGAATCATACCTGAGGCCCTTGAATTACAAGGCAACCCCAGTAATCGCTAGACCATGCTGACCCAAAGTTGAGCAAGCTTCAGTTACTAATAAAAAACATATAATGCTAAAAATTAGGTTTCAGTACCTGCAATGGGCAGAGCACAGACAGCCCATTGTGTAGCTTTTTGCTTAACTAGAAACAAATGTAATGGCAATATTTTGATTACTCTTATGGTTGAAATAGTAAAAAAAAACTAGTAATTGTTAACGCTAATTTTGATTAGTTGATTATTTTTATGATATTAATCATTTTAATTATGATTTATATTACTTGAACTGGAATAATAAAAAACAGTTACAATTACCAGAAACACTAAGTGATTATTTTACTTTACACATATTGATGCAATTAATACTCATAGGTAATCAATTATATTGATTAATCAAGTTAATTGCTGAGCTGTACTTGTGAAGAGGGTCCAGTATGGTTGTACTCCATTAATAACAACCTTTTGCTTTCTTCAATTCAACTATCACACAACCCATTTAACTAATCTTTCTCCAACCCTTACTGGTGCAATCTTCTTAGTAAATAAAATAATATCTATAATTCAACATTCAGGATCAACAGCTGAGATTGTTGAAATTTTAGTTGTATAACTTCTTGGCTTATCACAATGTTTTGAAAGCATTAAAAAGGATATTGCTTCTGGAAAATTTTGTTCACCGGTTTGACAATGTTCAAGATTGCTTTTTTATGTTTTTATATAATATAATGGTGCTATTATAGTGTGCAGTCTACAAAGATATTTACACTATATCATGCAGTCTACACAGATACTATCATCATCACTGTTTTAATGATTTACTAAAACATACTTTCTTCCCAAATAATTTATATCTGTCCACATTTTTGTTCAGCAAATAATAATAATTTAATAAGTTGTGTGTTACCAAAGAGTACCTTAAATTTAGGTTATAATTGTGCTAGTTTTTATTGTTGGAACTTATTTCATTCCAATTATAATAACTGGTGCCAATTGCAAATAAATGAAAGTTAAAATGCTGATGATATTAGTATCTGTGTAGACTGCACGCTATAGTGTAAATATCTTTGTAGACTGAATGCTATTAGCAGCACCGATGTAATTATGTATTAATAGTAAAATATTTTAATTGAAATGCATGTTTTTTGTTATTTTGTAGTCTCTCAAACCTTGGCATTAGAAGTCTTGACAGTGATGGTTTAAAGTCCTTAAGTAAACTGGAGAGCTTGGACATTTCAGGAAATCACCTACGTTCCATACCAAACCTGAATTTACCACAGCTGAAAGTGTTAAACTGTGAAGATAACATGATTCAGGACATAAGTTTTTTGCACCAGTTCCCACAGCTAAAAGAACTCTTTCTGACAGGCAATCCTCTTTCTGTAAATATTTACTTATTTAATCTGTATCATATAAGTATACTTATTGATGTAATTCTTGACTTTATTTGTACTCATAGGTAGTGTGCTAACAGAAAATGAAGCACTTGCACTGGTATAATAATTTCGTATAAGTAGGTCATTAATTTGCTTCTATAGCTTCAACTAGTGTGCTGTTTGTTTATAATGGTAGAGAATCAATAATCAATTTCGTATAAGTAGGTCATTAATTTGCTTCTATAGCTTCAACTAGTGTGCTGTTTGTTTATAATGGTAGAGAATCAATAATTTTTTTTTCATTTTCCATTCATTTATGATACTTAATTTTCGAATGTCTTCTTCCCTCCTGGCAGATAATGGATCATGGCCATTGTTGCTTTCCCAAGATTTGAAATTTGCGTTATCTAAAAGTGAAATTTAAATCCTCATTTGATGTAAAGTGTTTCAATGGTTTTAAGTAACAAACGTTTTCATTGTGCTCATGACTTTAGCTGCCGTAATGCTTTTGTATTCAAATAGAACATTTCTTTCATTCTCTGAGAATATATGCTGAAAAAAGTACTGGGTAATTTTCTACATTGTTTAATGGATTTTGAAAAAACCTAGCCATAGCTAAGTATTAGTAGAAAAACACCATGTTATAACTAAAATCTTTGCATTGATGAAAGTATTGTCGTTGGATATGTATTCAAAAATGATAAAGTACAGATGGAAATAAACTGTATTAAAAACGTTTCTGCAACCAGTGAGAACAGAGTGGTACAATTATAGAAGCCTCAAAGATTAGTGTTAAACACCTCAATAGTTTTAAACTACAATTAGTAGAAATGCATCTTTTATTAAAACTATCTACTGTTACTTCAATACAAAAGCTGATAATAAAGCAGTTATTGTTTGCCCCTCCTGGAAGAAAAACATTAAGTATCATATGTCAAAATGTTGTATATTTGCTGTTATGTTAAACTTTTATTAATGTTTTTCTTCATTACCCATTCAAACCGTCTCCAAGCATTATTAGTCTCAAAGTGGGTTCCTCGTCATCAAATATGTTGATAAAGTTGATTGGATAAAGGAAGTTAATTGTATATTAATAATGAGCAAGATTCTTTCCTCCACGTTGTTTCATTTAATTTGTCAGCCATCAGTCACAGTTTCAGCAATCATCTTCAGATTTTATTAATTATATCTAATTATAATTAATAATATTCCAACTCTTAAGAGGTGTTACTTGTAGTAAGGTAAAATGATGGATAACGAATCTAAGGTCATTTTTATTTTAATAATTGCAAATTTAATTAATAGTCATGTTGACTCAAATCTATTAATGATTATGTGGCTTTCATATTTATAAAAACTTTAATTTTATGCACAATGCAATGTATGTTCAGAAGTTATTCATAATATTGTGTGCACATGAGTTGCAATATACTTTGCAATTATATGTCACAAATTAATAATTATGTCCAAAAAACATCATCAGAATTAATGAGTACATTATCAAGGTTTAAAGTAAAAATAATACATCCATTAGAAAAATGCCTGACAATATTTAAGTTACATTAAATTTTCCTCATAAAAGTAAAATTGTTCTGTAGTAAGTGCTAGAGTTTTATGTATGCTTTTTTTGAATAGCAAGTTTTCCTAAAGGCTGTTACTTTGTTTTTGTAACAGATCTTCTGTGGAAACAAAAACATTTTTTACCAAAGTTCAAATATCAATGTGAAATGCTTTTTTCAGGCATTTCTTTTAAAAATTTTAAAGAAATAGGTGATTGGTGTTAAAAAAAAAAGTCGTTGTTTTAAAAAACCTTTCATAACTGTATTTTTAATAACTACTTGTATATAGCAATGAAATTAGATTTGAATTATTATTAATTTGCATTCTGTGGAAGGGTCCATTTTTTTGCTTTAAAGTAACTTTAATAACCAAGTATGAATACACAGTATAGATATTGTAAATCAGACTTATTAAACTGTTTTTATTTGAAAGACTAAATGTATTTCAAGCAGGAATTTAAGTTAATAAGAAAGATAAAAGTATTATGTCAGTGTTAATAGAAATAACCATAATGAAAGAGCAAAGTGATTGAATGTCTGTGTGTGTGTGTATATGTATGTGTATATATATATATATATAAACACACGAGTTTGAAAAACTTGAGTATTGATAAACATATTCTAGAACATTTTTAATATTTATTTAACCCTATTATCTATTGACATTTATATGTTGACATAGCCTAAGTTATTTTCACAGCTCTCATGTAGTGACATAATGTTCTTTAGATGAAATACCTTGTCTTTAAAATGAAGATTATAAACTGCACACCTGAGCAGGCTACTTACAGTAAATTATTGTACTTCTCTATGTAAAATAAGGAGCACCTCAACTTATAAACTCTGGTGACACCAGGATATGAAGTTTACAAAAACAAAATGAGGCAGTTGCAAATACAACAATGACTTTAGGCATCTTATGATAATAATTCAGAAACACTTTTTACCTCTCTGCACCACCAAGAACTGTAAACTTACGTGCAACAGCTGTGGAGTTTTTCACCTGCCACAAGCCTTGAACAAACACCCACCCCTACATGTGTATGTGTATTGTATCACCCAATGATGTTTATGTCATAATGCGGTAGCTCTACATCAAGGGTGTGTAGAAGGGTGACATAACCTACATGCATATAATCCACATGAGCACTAGCATATAGTCATAGGTGCTTTTTTTCCTTAGCAATGTCTGTGTTCAGATGTGTTTTTTCATGTGCTTTTTGAGTTTCCAGTGTTTTTGACCTCCTGCCTTTCTTTATTTAGTGCTACATTACTTTTGTTCCATCCACCTGATTGTAACTTCATTTTCTCTAGCCACCTTGTTTTTACTTTAAACAACTTTCAACAATATATTCCAAATATGTACCCCAAGACTCAGATATTCCTTTTCAGACATTTTTCTCCAACTCTCCTAATGGCAATTGGAGACACCTTATCTGTTTGTGGAACTGAAGTTCAAATTGTTATCCTTATAGTTCTCTTAGTGGGGCCACATGCTTGCATGGAACAGCTCTCAAATTTCACTCCTTGAAGTACTATTTTTGCCATGGATAACTTTAATTACTACAATCTTATGGAGCTGTGTTGAACTGTGGTGTAGCAACAAGTTAACTAATGATATTTTCACTGTTGTTCAGCAAATGGTTGATTCCCTTCTGCCTACTTTTCCAGTTCAGGTCCCTAATCATTCGGTTTCATTGCCTTTTGTGGTGTATGCCTCACCTGTAGATGATTGGCCCACTCTTCCACCTCCAACCTTTGCTTCTAGTTTTTCTTTTCCTGATGAGAAACAGTTGCCCCTTTTGTTCTTTTCACTGCAATCCTAAATCAGGTATGTCTTATTCTGTCTCTTTTTAACTGTATATCATAACGACTGGTGGTTTTTCCTTTGTGATCCTCCTTCTGTTGTTTCTCATCTTTCTTGTCCTACTTGTCTTCTATGCTATGGTCTCTGGTCATGGCCTTTTTACCTTTCTTGAACCAAAGTCTCTTATGCCCTTTCTGTCTGGTGGGGTGCTCCTCTTTCTCCTTCTGTCTTTTTCTTTCCAACTATCTGATTGTCTTTGTCCTTCTTTACCATATTCCTCGGATTTATCTCAATCCTTCACCTCCTCGCTGCAGCTCTTCATCACAACCCTGATGGTTTAGGTGGGAACAATTTTTCATCGCTGTTTGCCACTTTGGCTTCTATTTCTTCCTCTACTCTATATTTTGACCTTGTTTTTGGGATCTGCTCTGTTGGATTGTGTACCTTTTGGGTGTCCTCATCATTTCTTATATCCTGACCTTTGCTTCACCCCTTTTCATACAGACCATATCTTTTGTGGTATTTCAGACTCGTTGAAATCCTGGACTAAGGCTGCTCTCCAGCAATTTTTTGTTTCCTTAATTTACTGACTTACTATCCATGGGTACCTCTGTTTGCTACCCAGCCTTGAGAGTCATGTTGGGCTAATTTCTCTCCTATTTTTCCTCCAGTTCTCTCTGTTCACCATTTCCCTTTCAGAGGGCTGGCCTTCTGGTCCCATCTTGACAGGATTAAACAAGTGTTACCTCCATTTTTCATCAGGAGACCTCATGCCTGAGCTGGCTGGTCTATTTTGGCTCCCACTCAATAACTTGTCTACCTGAGAGTTTTCCTTGAGGGGTGGGCCCAATTCTTTCCATTGCATGTATCCACTGTAATGATCTTGGTGTCTAAGACACTTCTTTCTTCTTTTCTTCCAGCATGAGAGACTCTCTCACTTTTGGGGACTATTGGTTCTCTATTAGCTTTTATCCCTCTCATTCATGTGCACGTGCGCCCCCTTCAAAAGGCTTTAGGGGTTCAGTGGAACATGTCCTGTGATCCTCTTTTCCTATCCATATGTTTCTACCTTCCTGTCTACATCTCTCTCTGCCATGGTGGTTTGATCATTCCAACATAACCTGAGGTATTCCACTCCTCACCCACCCAACTTGCATCTTTACACTGATACTTCTCTTTCTGGGTGGGGTATTTCTTGACTCCTCCACTCTCTCTCCAGAGGAATGTTCTCTCCATATCATATTTCATGAGATGTTGGAGACTTATCAGGCTTGTCAATTTCTTAATCACTGTTGTCAGGCCATCTTGTGTTGATTCACTTAGATAATTGTATGATCATTTCTCACATCAACTGCTCTTGGTGCCTCTTTTCTCACTCTTTATTAGGCCTATGTCATCATGTCCCAGGAGTTTTAAATTTTGTGGTAGATTGCTTTTTTTCAACTGGACAGGATCCATCTCATGCAGTGGTCCTTGCTCCCTCTGGTCTTCCAGTGGGTTTCCTCCCATTTTGGGTCCCCAGTGATTGATGCTTTTGCGACTTACCTCAGTTTCATGCTTCTCTTGTTTTGCTCACCAGTCTTGAATTCAGTTGATCTGGTTGTTAATGTAGTGAGCCTGGATTGTTCTAATCTCTTTCTCTATGTCTGCCTTCCTTTTGTTCATAGACTTCTTCAGGGTCTTTTTTTTAATCCATAAACCCCTCTTCTAGTCGCTATTCCCATTTGGGATCTTTTTGTGGTTGTTTGGGCTCTTATATGTACCCCCCCCCCCTTAACCCTTTCCATATGGGTAGGGGTCAGAGGGCATCATCACGTTTGTAGACTTACATTCAACATTTTATTAAACTACTATTTTATGAATGTATGTCAATAAATTTTATGTCAAACTGTAGTTTATAATTCAAAGTTTAGTGTTATACATTAGTTAGTTTCTTAATTTGAAAGTAACTATAAAAAAAGTAGCAAAATATTGATTTTTATGTGTCGTGTTATGTTGTCTCCTGTTTTGATCACATTATATTTTATGATGTGCACAGTACAATGTCAATAGTTTCTTACAAATTTAGATACTCAAATTACTGATATTGACAGGCTAGAATATATTATAAGAATCTCTCACCTTTTCTATTTGCTGAGATATCATTATATTTAGTGAATACACCACAGTGGCTTTGCCCACTTCTCCCAATTACACATTTATAATCAATACAAACATTTATTTTTAACTAAGTAATTCTGCTAGTCTTCGTAAAATAAAGCTATCATTACCACTGCACCCTTGAAGGATGGTGTCAAGGCGATATGATGATGAGAAATGAAATTTTTTAGACCCAAATAGAGCTTAGTTAAGAAGCTTGATCAATTACAGTAGAATTTTGTGGTATCAGTGTAGGATTGTATAATTTTTTTAATTTCAAAATTCATATATAATACCTACAAAAAATTCAATGAGGCTTAGCAAGTACAACACATAAGTACAGAAAACTTTGTAACATCATAAGTAGTAGAGATCATTGTTTTTCTATATATTTTTTATTTACTGTTTTATGTTTTAAGAAATAAATAGAAATTTAATTTGTAAATCTTACTATAATGGACGTAGCATGTACGTCAGTATCTATATATGTAACCAAAACTCCTGTGTCATCTATTGAATGGCACTGCAATTTATGGCAACCAAAATGTGATTATATTTTACAAAATACTAGTATGCTAGTACTAAGACCTGTTTTATGCTATTCAGTAAGGTAATGTGAGCTGCATATGTGCTGCATGATATACTACTTGTGTAGTGATGTTATTAGTCAGAGACGATTCAAAGGTCAACAAAACAAAAAATTAATAGATATAAATAGATGTATACTGTAACAAAATTTAAGCAATTTTTTAGATTAAACATTTGTGGTATCCTGTTACAATTTGCAGTCATTTTAGAACAAAAAAGTATAATTTAGATTTATTTCCTAATTTTTTATGGTGTTTACGAGGTCAGTCTAATTGACCAACCTCATATAGAATTAAGGTAGAGAAAATAACAAATGAAATATAAAGTTTTTCTATAAAAAAACGTTTGCTTGTTATCTAGAAATTATTAGGAGATTATAGAGGTTACACAAATGTACTTTGACAATTTTCAGATGAAGAAAAGTATTTTTAATTGTAAAATCAATATTACTTTCCATGTTGGATGGTCAACATTCCAAAAGAAAATATCATGAGCAAATCTTTAATTTAAAAAATCTTAATACTTAATAAAAAAAAACTGATATTTTGTGTATGAAAGCCTTGTAATGTTTACTGATAATCTGTGAAATTTTGTAAGATATAAGTACATTATCAAAAGTTATAGTATGACTACTCTCATGGTTACTTTGGTGGTTACAGGCTGGGTGCAATGCACTCAAGTCATAGTCAAAGAGCTAAACTGTTGGCTTCATGTTCCTTGTTTAATTTGTCTCTTAAGACAAATTTCGCCTTCTCCTTGCTTGTGGTTGTTATCAATCAGACATTCACAACACAAACACCTCCTGCTTTCATGTTGTTTTCATACTTTTCCTTTCTTCCGAAGACTTGGGCTATACGGGAGGGTGATCAGTTGTTTTCTCCTATCTCTCTTCCCCCCCTCTATTTCCTTGTTGTATGACCTCGATCATATTCATCTTTTCTGTCCTGTATGGTCTGTTTGTTCCTATCTTCCTTAGACTGCCTGCTTTTCAGAAACTGCCATCACCTGTTTTTACCGTGGCAGACCTCCTCTCAGGACTTGTCCTCGTCTACTTTCACTGGTTGGATTCACCAGCTCATCCATCTCATATATTCTTCTTTGGATGAATCTTACCATATGCTTTTTTTACATCTGCTTTCACCAGATTTGACATTTCACAGCTTTTCTTGCTTCTTTTCATCACCAGTCTTTTGTGGAGACCATACATTCATTTCCCATTACTTACATCATTGGGTTGTTTCATGTGCCTTTGATTTTGCTTCCCTTCAGTTACCAATTTCCAGTCTCCCCTGAGTCTCTAGTGGGTGAGTTTCCAATCATCTCCATGTTATTCACATGTTTCATGGCACTTCCATGTGTATACCATTATTCTTGTGCACATTCCAACACATTACAAAATTATTACAAAAAAGAGGAGGAGACAATACAAATCAGATTGAACATAACATGAGGAACTAATCACTACATTCTTTATGTTTAGTGCCATCAGATACTGCTGAGTGGCTGGTGTTGATTTACAGTGAATGCTTACCTAAAAGCTGCATAGAGTGAGGAAGAATGAAAAGCTTTAAACCTATCCGTCCCTGTTCAGTGTCCACCATTGAGATGGCATTTTTTGCAAGACTTCCTAGGCAGTATATCTATACAATTGGCATGGCTGTTTCTACATCTTTTAAACAAAAAAAACCACCACCAGGTATAGTCCTTCCCTTACACCTGACTCATGATTGCTGTCTTTAGTTGTAGTAACCCATTCCTCTGTTTTGGTTGGAATCCAATTCCAAATGATTGTGTCTGATGACAGTGGTCCATGCTCACTCTTCAGTGTTTCCCTAATGCATATTCCCCCCATTCTTCTAGCAGAGCATGGGAGAACCCTTACATCCTCAGTCCAAAGCCACTGGGGATGTTGATATGGAGATTTTCCTCTGCAAGTGGTACCTTCCCCATGGTAAGAAACTGGTTTGGTCCAACCCTCGTTTGAGATGTAGAGCTGGGGTGTTACCTGGAAGTGTAATACAGGACACCCCATTACAGTATTTCTGAAGCAGCTCCTGGTGGATATGTTTGGCCAGAAGGGACTTTGATTTGATTCAGGGCACAGGTGAGGGTTCCTCCTCCTTCCAACTGCTGCTACAGTATCTATCTTTTGTAAGTATTTCACCAAGACAGAACAATCTTAAGCCCTAGCCACACTACACATTCTACCATTCTAACCACCTTGGTGACATGTCAGCACTGGCACTGAATTTTTAAGATTTCCTCTGCTCTACTCTCTGTATAATAGAAGTTACTACTATATAAGTCAATAACAGCAAATTGAGCAAAGAGTATTCCCTGCTTGAAAAGGATGTGGTCTCCCACTGGGTGCTACTCCACTAGGCAAACTTTTTCTTTGTGGAAGTCATACCCTCTGAGGTATCCCTTTCTGTCATTATTCCAGAAAGGAGCTCATTTTTTGTAATTGGTCTGTACTGGTTTCTCTGTTATCTTCAATGTGGTATTCTAGCTCTTGTGGTAAAGGGAGGGAAGTAGCATTTCTGAAGTTCACATTTTCATTACCGTTTATTATTTTTTGTAATGTGGTTTTTCTTGTCTGACAACTTCTGAATGCTTTCTTTCACATTTATATTAATGTCAGACCATGACTGGAGTCTTATGGTTATTTTAAACTTTTCAATATAATCAAACAATTTAAAGGCATGCATATTTTTACAATCAAGTGACATGTATATTGAACATTGGACAACAATTTGCAAAATGCAGCAACTACATAAAATTGGTTGTTTACATAAGTAACCAAATATATATGTGTGTATATACACACATTGATCATAATGAAACGTTATTTGCTGGCTGTTTAAGTTTATTTCTAATCCTCTATATCAATCATATCTTTAACTTTCACGTAAAAAAAAAGTAATGTTACTGTTGTGCTTACGTATTTGAATATTTGTACATCAAGCAAATTTTAAATGTAGCTTAAATAGTAGTCAGGCAATGAAGAGCGTAATAATTGACAATGAATGTAAGCATTAAATACAAGTAGAAACTTGCTCTTACAATTAGAGGTTCATTCTCTTCTATGCTGCTCTATTTAGAGAGAGCAAACAGCTTTTATAGAAAACACTACTAGACACAGGCTATTAATATCTATGATATCTCTCTAAATACCACTTCCATATTGTTTTATGATGAGCAACTAAAGATATCTGTGAAATGGGCCATACAATGTTCAGCTAACAATACACTGTGCACACCTTATCACAGATTTTCACAGAGGAAATGTGCATATAAAAATTCTTCTTATATGCACTTTACGTTTCAAATATGTTACACTTGATAACGTTTTGATTTGTTGGAGTTCTTTAGAGTAAATTAGGTTTTCCTTTCCATGACCTTTGGTAAACTGGGACACTAACCCAAGAAACCACAAAATGCATTTTCGCATAGCTTTACAAATATTGTGGAAAGCAAATTTTTTTATATATTAAACCAAGTTAATTATACTGTAAGAATGTTTACAGTACTGATATCAATACATTTTTTTGTTCAGAATTTTTTGTACATATTTCTAAAAAATGTTCTTTCAGAATGCTGACAGGTATATTGCTGTTGCTCAACTGCCAACTTTAGTATATCTGGATGGAAAGGACTGCTCTAAGTTATGGGAATTGGATGTAAAAGTAGAGGAGAGATTATGGCCACAAGTGAGTAGTTACTAATGACTTGAGCTTTAGAGTGAAATTTTGTTGGTGAGAGTTTTAATACATTTTGATTATATTGGAGCTTTTGGTAGGAAGTAATTAGAAGATTTCAAAAAGTGAACATGAAAAGATTGATATATAGTATAAAACTTCTTTTATAGTTAATTTCTTTTTTCTTTGAACACTTGTTTTGACCTGAAATATCTATGCAGTTGCATCCTTCACATTTGTTTTTGGAAAGACATAGACTTTTTAAAATGTTCTAAAGAAGGTGTTAAACTTCAGAAATTTTAAAATTTAAGATTTTTTTCTAATGTATTTGAAGGCCAAAGTATGAATTGTGACGGTTGTTGATTTTTACATGAATTTCATTTAAAAAACTTTTAAACTGTTGTACAAAGGATATTTTTTAATATTTGATGAAAATTTGTCTTTTGTACAAATATTCTATGAAATTATGTGTTAGTTTTAGCAGGTATTCTTGAAATAAATTTGATGATGTTAGGCATGAAGTTTCTATTACCAAAAAATGCAGAACAGCTACAGATACTAAAATTTAACAAAAGTTAATAAAACAATAACTTTTAGCAGTCTTGCAGTTGTGTGTTTATTTGAAGTTTTCACTTTATTTAATTTTTCCAAGTTTGTGGAATAATTTTTGATTAAGCTCATTTAAATTATATTTTAAAATCTTAATCTTACAAATTGTATGGACTTAAATCTCTGACCAACTTATGGGTTTAATACAAACTCAGATTTCCTTAGACTATAATTTTCTGTTATTTCTTGCATTTTAATAAGTTACTGCTATAAGCATACTTCTGCTGTACAAAAAGTCTTCTTCAAATCTCATGATATTTATTTTTGAATATTCAGTCATTTTTTTCATTTTTATGGAATAGCATGTCTTCAGTCATACGAGTAAGGAGGACATTATACAGTCATTTGTCTTCTAAGTATAAGATTTAAAAAAGTTAGCTTATATGTAGAGTTTATATTTGTAGAAAATACTGCATGAAGATTGCTTTTTTATGGGCCAGTCCTTCCTTGTCTTTGTGCCAAGATGTGGAGAGTTGTTTTGTATGTTGTCTTACCTCGTTTCATACAAAGTTGTCTCAAACTTATTTCTGCTCCCTAAGCATTGGTAAGAAATTTTAATGCTCATTGCACCAGTCCATATATCTCACATTTTGCACCACTTTTGAACATGTATATAGCATGTGACCACCCTCCACCAATAGTATTGTGCCACACATATATTGGCACAGCTAGCTTCCTCTGATTTTCTCATTCAATCACCTTCTCATATGGCACAGCATTGTTTAGATGTGTTTTTTTTTCACATGTGGCTACCATTTGCGATTGTACATCATTGACATTTCAATACCTTTTTCAAAGTTTTATTTTAATGTGTTTGCATTCAATTGTTTCATTTTTTTTTAACATTTGTTATTCTCGAAGTTTCTTCTCATCAAATTTGTCATATCACCATGTCTTTAGCTGCTCGTCTTTGCTGTCTGTTGGAAGAAATCATTCAGGCCAGAATGTGGACTATTCACTATTCCTTTGTTGCTCATTATCTGCAATATTTGGCTGTATCTTTCCCAGGTGAATTTTATCTCCCTCCTGTGGTGTTTCTACACATATCTGTTTGCTATTGATTTGGGTATGTCTTTTTACAACATTTCATTTTCATGGATGCTCTTTTACTGCTACTAATAGGATTCCATTCTGTGGTGAGAGTTGCCTGGTCAGGTATGCTTTCACTCAAACCGCACTGTATACTGGTGGAGCTATAATGCTCATTGTAGAGATGGAGTATTCTGCAAGACTACTAGTGGCATGGCTAATGGTATATACTAATGTTTCTCTAGATATCTGTAAATTTAACTCAATGGTGGACCATCATGAGTAAAGCAAAAGGGGATTTCTGCCCATCTCTGCTGACTCTTTGAATGCAGAAATCTGGGATGGTCTGCTCTTCAAAATAAGGAATTGTGGACACCCATTGTACTTTCTCCTATGTGTCATTCCTCTGCATTTACTTCCTCCCCTTTTTTCTTGAAGTGGAGCATTGGAGTCCTTACCACTTGCCAGTCACTGTGGTGGTGGACCAAGGAGGCTTCCTCTTGAGTATGAAGTAGAAATGTACCTTACAACACTCCCACACATTTATCCACTCAATGAGAAGAGGGCAAAGCTGGATTCCCTCCTTTCTTTTCCTCTGGATGCTTATTTCCAGGTAGACAGAATGTTGGTTGGAGCAGGACCAGCCTATAAAGGATCCTCCTTGTAATTTCGGTTTCAGGATGACACTGCCCTATACTCACAGTTGAGTGTACTCACTGAAGTGTTGCCAGGTTGATTTCATACAAAAATGCCAAACACCTCTCAGAAGAAGGCCAAATTATAATTCAATACTGTATATACTTTTTCTTTCCTTTTAGGCTTGCCATGGCCAAGTGGTTAAAACTCTTGACTCGCAATCTGTGGGTCATGGGTTCAAATCCCTGTCCCACCAAACATGCTTGCCTTTCAGCCATGGGGGCATTACAATGTGATAGTAAATCTCACTATTCATTGGTAAAAGAGTAGTCCAAGAGTTGGTGGTGGGTGGTGATGAATATTTTATTTTCCTCTAGTTTTCCACTGCTAAATTAGGAACGGCTGGTGCAGATAGTCCTTGTGTAGCTTTGTGCGAAATTCAAAAACAAACCAAACCAAACTTTCCTTTTTTTACCTAAATACTAATATGCTACAGGATCATTTTGGATCTTTTTATTAATGAACTCTTCCTTCCAATCAACCATTAAAAGTTTCCTATATTGGGATTCTACTTTATCACAATCAAAATAAAAATATGATGGGAAGTCACTGAACTCTTTTCTTACTTGTCTTAATTATTCTCTAGGAGAAGAATTGTTTATACTTATAATGGTGTCCATATTTTCACTAAAGCCTTTTTTCTAATTGTGCATTGACTTCAACTAAAAAATCTTTACACCTCAGTCTTATAACTTGTATTTCTTCACTCTTTAAATGAGATGAACTACTCAGTTCTCTCAAACTCGACTTCAAACAAATCTTTTCTGAAAACAGCAACTTTGATTTTGAAAAATTTTCTTCATGGATTCTTGCTAAAAGTGAATAATGCAGTTGACAGAGATCATCAAAGACCTTGAAAGGATTGGCATTTGAAGCTAGAAAGGCTGCATTTACTTTTTCAAAGACTTGAATGATTGACAATACAGAGGTTAGGTATAGAAAATTAGTACACTCAGAAAGCATTTCATTAACAAGTCTAGCATGGTAATTTCTGTCTTTATCATTTATCACTGAAAAATATGCTTGATGATCATTCCACTGAATAAGTATTGAATAAATACACTTTCCCTTCTACAGCCATCTTGTGGTACTAGGTGTAATAAACTTTAATGGTTCAGTGTACTCATTGTTCATAACTTTGAACATTTTCTGAAACTCATCTTGTCTAAAAGCACTACATTTAAAACATCGTGCTATTTCCACTAATAGGTACTTTAGATTTTTAAAGGTAACATTTTAATGCATGTTCAGCAGATAATGCCAGGCTATGACATGTGCATTTGATAAAAATAACATTGGGAGATACCTGTCTCAATCATGAAAGCATGGAATTATGGGCACCACAGACATTATTTGCCCCTTCAGTTGAGAAACCTATGCAGTTTGCCTAATCAACATTGATTTGTGTCATAAAATTTGATATTACCCAAAATAAATTTTCACCAGTTGCCGATGTAACCTACAGTAAGGCCAAAAATTATATTTTCTTAGTATTGTCTTTGGAGGAAAATAATTTAACACAAGGACATAGTAGTTTGCTGGTAGATACATCTGTTGACTCATCTGTCAACAACGAAAATTTAACTTCTCTTAACTCATTAATTAAATCTTCATATAATGCCATGGCAACCACATTTTTTATGAGTGCAAAACATTTTGTACAATGCAATGTTAGGTTTTCAAGGAAACTATTCTTGCTATACTCTTATTATATCTGACTGGTGGTCCACTGAACGTATGCTACAATGACATGCTAAAGATACACTGTACTTGATTTCAAATTCTTTTAACAATGAGCTAACATTTGATTTTTCAAAATAAGATTGAATCTTCAGATTTGGTATCAAATCCAAATTCTTCACGAGTTTAGAACTTTTTTCATGCAAAACTAAATTACTTCTTTTCATTGTCTTTATTCTGGTAATGCGCATCACCTCTATGTGTTGATCGCTTAAACTCTTCTTCCCATTCTTTGTTATATTTTCTTCCATCTTTATAGGAGGTTTTCCATTTCCCCATTTAATATTTACTTCATGCTTAGATATTCTAAAATATTTTGATATCATAACACTGCATCACAGGATGTTAGTTCACAAAGTACATGTAAATGTGCAGGGTGATTAAGACTGAGTCACTATTGTAAAACTGCTAACTAGCTACTAACATGCTGCTAATTATTTAAGCTTAGTCAACTATCCAACAAACATTTGGGGCATGTGCACGTTTAACTAAGACTTATTTTGAATGAGTACCATACAACTGTGACACATAGGCGCGTTGGTAATACAAGTAAATACAAGTAAAATGTGATGCAGTACAATAAGTAGAAGCTACTTGTTTATAACAAAATTTTCCAGTTAGCATTTTTCTTTATTTATTACATTACTTTGATTTTACTTTCAAAACAGCCAAAAATAAGGCCAAATAGCATTTGGTCTGCATGCAAGAATTTTGAAGGCCAACAAGCTTTCAAAAAGGCCAATTTGGCCTTGAAAGGCATGGACCTGACAACCCTCAAAGTAGAGGCCCCTCTTCTCATTAATTCTGGTTGCAGGAGATTTCCTTTCCTGATCCTAAGGTTGAGTTTAGCAGATATTGTCTGCCTCATAATACCAACAACAAGATGTACATGCACTATTCCTACTTTTGATAAATGTTCCATCTCCTCATAATTCCTT